CCCACCTTCCCCCTCTTTTGGCGGGTCTCCCCCTGCGGCCACCGGGCCGACATTGGTCGAGTCGAGGTTGAGGGCTGCTTTTCCGCCTCTCTCGGTTTATGTGGTTGATAGGTCGTAGGTGAGTTTCGCCGCGTTGTCTTCCCAGCACTGGAGAAGTCGCCGACCGCCATCTCCAGCCCCAGTCACGAGAGCCTGCCATTTCACTGGAGTTCCATTCTCGTGCGCTTCTGTTTACTTTCGTGGAGGATGCCATGCTCGGCCGTGGTTTTCCATGGCGGTGTTGTCCTGCCTGGCCGCCGGTTCGTCTGGCTGTCGACTTGCCGGGCCGGGCCGGTTCGGTTGCAGTCTGCCTAAGGTGTTCTCCTTGTGTTCTTTGTCGCGAGTTCTTCGGTGTGTGTTCTTGATGGTCTCCCTTCCTATCCCATGCGTAGAAGTTCTTCTGAGTTTAGATCTGGGCCGAAAATTCGTCTAGGCAAACTGAGTGACGCAATTTTCGAGTTTGGAGTTTAGTTCTTGTTGCTTGGCTGGAGTTCTTCGTCGTGGGTGTGACTCGGCAGTTGGTTTAGGTGGTCGTGGGGTTATCTGCTAGGCGTATGGGAGGTTTTATTTTATTTTGTGCAGTAGGCGTGAGTTTTTTTTTATCTTTCTTTGTTGTTTATTCGTTTAGCCCAACGTCTTCTGATTGTTAGTCTCCTCTATGGAGTTTGTGTCTCCTTATTAGAGCTTTTGTCTTTTGCGGTTAGTCTCCTTGTTAGAGTTTCTACCTCTTTAATCACCTATGCGGATCTAAGGGGGGTTGGTCTAGTTTTTCTAATTTCAGTGGTGCCCGTTGGCCCTTTGACTTGTATACTCAATTTGAGTTTCTAAGTTATTATATATTTGCCGTTTGAAAAGAAAAAAAAGTCTTGAGCTTCCTTTCCTAGAGTAATGCTCCCCTACCCACGGTGGGCACATGTTAATATGTCCACCGTTTATGTGGCATGCACACATTGGTGATGTTAATATGTTTAAAAAAATGGGGAAAAATTCAAAACTAGTCCCACAGGTATAGGGGGAGTGACAATTTTGGTCCCAACGGAATGCAAAAAATACAAATAGTCCCACAACTTTTAAAAAATGATCAAAAGTAGGACTTTTCGCCGGATTTTACTGTTTCCGGCCTGGAATGCCACGGGGCGCACACGTGGCATATTTTGTTGCATATTTTATGCATACTTGTGGGACCAAAAAAGTCACCTTCCTATACCTGTGAGACAAAAAATGTCACCTCCCCATACCTGCGGGACTAGTTTTTATTTTTTTCATATCCACATCGGATGCCAGCGTGTAAAAAATATAATGCCACGTGTGCGCCACGTGGCATTCCGGGCCGGAAACAGTAAAATCCAGCAAAAAGTCCTACTTTTGATCAAATTTTAAAAGTTGTGGGACTATTTGTATTTTTTGCATTCCGTTGGGACCAAAAATGTCGCCCCCCTATACCTGTGGGACTAATTTTGCATTTTTTCCAAAAAAATGCATCACCAATGTGTGCATACCACATAAACGATGAGCATATTAATATGTGCCCACCGTGGGTATGTGAGCGTTACTGTCCTTTCCTAATTCTACAAAGGAAACCAATCATCATTGTAATATAAAACGCAAAAAATACACTGTTTTGAGTAAGGACATTTCAAGTAGAAAAATACATTCTATCTGCCAAGGAAAAAACAAATACAATCCTAGGTTAGTGGCCAACATAACCAACGTGTCATACTTATATGAATTTTATTACTCTATTCTATAATCTTTCCAATAAATACGATAGATCATCATTCAATTTGAGATAATGCTTTGGTTTCTCACTCATGCGTCCATGTGGTAGCTCAATTTGGATAATGACACTTTTATCAACATACTAATAAGGGTATGTTTGATAATTGTGGATACTTTATATGAGGTTTGACATATACAAAAGTGTTCAAGTATCACCAATAAATACAAACGGATAAAAATATTCTTATGACAAATAATAGCAAAATTAAAATAAGCAAATACAAATAGATACAAAAAATAATGACTGAGAAAATGAAAGAATTCACCAAATTGATATCCGAGTTTGATGTTGTCGTTAGTAGTGGCTCGTGAGGAATCGACTGTGATCCGGTCACCACTGTCATAAGAAAGGGACCGGCTAGGCATTATGGTAGTCGGTCAGCTGGGCCGCATGTCCGGCGGCCTTCGAATGCTCGGCGGCTCGCGTGTGCTCAGCGGCCCCGAGTGCTCGGCGGCCCTCGTGTGCTCAGCGGCCCCGAGTGCTTAGCGGCCCTCGTGTGCTGTCGAAGAGGCTAGAACTTGAAGATGGCTTTGTGATCAAGTTCCGAAGGAGTTGATAGCAACAAGGACTCTAGTAATTCAGAATACTTTTGACCTAATTAAGTGGTTTATACGAAGAAGACTTCTTGTCTCATGAGGACTCTCCAAATTTCTCTTATAAAAAGGAGCAGGTTCATTCATTTTACACAACACACATACACGAGTTACCTCGTTACTCTGCCGTTTTCTCTCTAGACCATCACTGACTTGAGCGTCAGAGTGTTCGCGCCGGGACCACCCCCGGTGTGCTTTGCAGGTACCGACGATCAAGGAGACACAACCCGGTTCGAGAGGAGCGGTCCAGCGGTTCAAGTATTTGTGGTATAACAGAGTTCAACTACTATTGCCCACGTCTTTGGCAGTAACGATAACTTTACTGATCTCACGAACAAAATACAACTAGAGTTAAATAATAAAAATTAAAGATTTTTTTTGGTTAAAGATTTCTTATAAAAAATAAGACAAGAAAATAAGGTGTAACTATAACCCAAAAATAAAAAACTTATTTGACTAAAGGATTATACATGTCATTGGTACAAACCCGATATGAGCTTAGGATGAACCTTCGACTCTAATTTCACTTGTTGGGATATCACAACAAACACAACGGATAAAAAAAAGTACCCGCACTACAAAATTTGTTTTCATATTCCAACTAAAAATTCAACGATAATATATTTCAATTGAAATTTCAACAGATATTCCAATGATATAGCTTCCATAGAATCATTTCAACGGAAATACTAATGAAAATATTCCATTAGAATGAGTTTTCTATTGAAACTTTAGATGAAA